CCCCCCCCGGCTGCATCCCTGGGCACTGCTGAAGAGCCTGGCTCCGTCTTCTGCATAGACTTGATGTACGTTGGTAAGAACCACCCCCCAAGCCTTCCCTTCTCCAGGCCGAACAGCCACGGCTCTCTCAGCCTTCCGTCAGAGGAGAGATGGTCCAGTCCTGAATCACCTTGGCGGCCTTTGCTGCATTCTCTGCAGTAGTTCTGTCTGTCTCCTACTTTTCATAGTTTACAACTGAGTATCAAAAAATGAGATGATGTTTTGGAAAACATCCTCTAAATCTGTTCAGCACAAGCATCAATGATGCTGAAATCTGGCCATTTTAAGCACAATGGTACTCCTGCATTGCTGCCACTGTCCATGACTACACACTGGTTGTTTTTAATAGAGAAGCCTTCCTGAAAAATGCCCATAGATATTTGGAATTCTCTTTTTTTGGTACATAAACCATAAGACCGAGATCAGAAAGGATCTTGCTTCCGTGTCCTTCCAGCCCTCTTGTCCCTAAATGTATCTTTCTGGAAACCACCTTTTGGCAACATTTAGGCATACAGGAAAAATACAGAGATAATGTGAGTGACAAAGAATGATTAAGGAACTAATTTGAAGAAGGAAGGGTATTGATGCTGAATGCAGTCAGCTGGCTTTGGCTGACCCAACACTGTGTGTTCATAATAGCTTCAAAGAATTCAAGAAATAAGTATATTGTCTTGTCGCTGAGGGATGGTAATGTTAGCGTTTGCTCTTGGGGCAAGAACCACAGACTTCAAACTAAGGCTAAAATTTTTCCAGTCCAACAAATTCCACATCGCTGTCTGTTGCAACACCCTCACAAAGAGAAATGGATAAAACTCCCTCAGATAGAGCGCATTTATCACCCCTCTTTAGGGTTCTCAAATTTCCTCAAGTCACAAGTTTCACATAGCACAGCTCTTGAACTGTAGCTCCAAAAGGTATTGCATTTCACATTTTTAACACTATCCTTCTTTATTATTATTTAATGATCTGAAGACTAAATGAATAGGCTGGCAGGCAAATGTCTTCTGGGAATGTGTTTTAATCCAGACAAAACCAGTCTGAGCAGTAATCTAGGAAAAATGCAAGATTTCAGTGTAAACCAAAAGATTTCCTGGGCCAACTAGAGCATTTTTTAGGGTGTATTTGTCCATAATCACATCCAGCTACTGAGGCGCATACACCTTGTGTTCTAGTGGAATCCTTTTGGGCAGGTCTATCTGAATTTGCATGGGACACCTGCACCCTGGAAGTCCCACGCTTCCACCAGAAGCAGTGTTCTCTACCTGCGGGCAGAGAACCCCAGCTGTGCCGCCACCTCCTTCCGACTGCAGAATCCTGCATAAGCAGAGTTATGAGGCAGAAGAAGAGAGTTGAGAAGAAACACAGACTCCGTGTCCTGCACAACTCCTTAGTGTAAGCTGAGTTAAGTGACATGTTATTCTACTAGTGATCATCCATGCTATTTAATTCTACTTTTGCTGATTCTAGAATGTTTCAATCACAGACGGAATTATTAGTCTGACCTGTTACAGCTTCTTTAAAAAGATACATAAACAGTATTCCCCACCCTTGTATCTACCAAAAGGAAACGCTTGGGTAAGATAAAACCAGGCATTCTTGCAGCGTAGCTTCTCTGGTTCCGGAACTCAGGAGGGTACGGAGTTTGAGTTGCTCAGTTTTAACAGCTATTGAAGGCTCTGCCTTCCCTGGAGTTCCAAATCCTTTTTTTATTTGTTCATTTATTTGGATTCTAGCACAGCCTGTGGCTGTAAATTCCAAAATTAACTATGTGCAACGGCTAAAAATTACTTTTGATTTAAGACTTCTTCCTGATTTCATTGTAGCTGTGGGGGAAATTATGAGTAATAGTGACTGCACATGTTTTCAGACTTCTCCAGCACCTATCAATACAGACTGCCACGTTATCACTACTACTGGAGGCATTCAAGAGGGTTAAGGTCACGATTTATACATTCAGATATTGACAGAAGAAATGCACAAATGTGGATGATCACTAATAAATTTGAGTAACTGAAATCTCATTCTGCTGGATGTTGGTGAGCACCTGGAGATAAGATGAACCTTGACAAACAGTCATGTCATGGCCTTTTTCTTATGGAAGCAACCCCTGAAAGACACAAGGTTTACTGCGAGCAGGTCTGCAGCCAGACAAAGACACTACTACTTTACAATATTTCTTTCTCCACTGCTACATACTATTAACCTTGAAGGGAGAAATCCCCAAGCTGTTTACTTTAAACTTGTTTAAGCACCTTTGCAATGCTGTTGAAACCTAAATCAAACAGTAAAAGACAACTGCTGCCTTTTAAATTTTAGTACTACATGTCCATCTGGCAACAAATAACATTTCCCAGCAAGGCTAACTTGTAAGATGTTCTGTTTGCTTCAAGGACGGTCTGTCAGGCATCACATCTGCAGGTGTATTATGCACACAGGACAAACCCGGGAGCTCTTAAGTCAATACACAGCGCTCTCTTCTCAGCGGACCAACGGCAGGTTATGGGACTGCGGGGAGTCAGCATCCCTCAGCAAAAGGACGAGAGCAGAAACCCTGCAGTCTGATGATGCCATCACGTCTGATGACGACAGGGTACCTCTTTTTTACCAAAAGCATCACAACCCGCAGGAGACCTTCAGAGGGGAACAAGCAGCACCAGTAACCCCCACCAGATGGCAGCAGGCGCACAGGCACAGACCGGGACACCTTGTCCACAAAATAAAAATAAAAATAATAATTAAAAAAAGACAACTATGGAAAATATCTTCTGTTCTTCTCTACTCTGAGTGTCAGTGTTGCTTATGAGGAATCACGGTAAGTTACAGATCATGCCTTCTGGCATTACCAAGTTACCTTTTCCTGTCATTAACGGGCAAAGAGCTGACATTCTGCCTGTTTCATTTGCCCCCAAAGGTGTTTAACTGCAACACTTAATCTGCATACAACACTCAGCCGAAAGACACTGCCGTCTAAGCCACTTGAGATGCAATTTTTCTATTAAATTTATCACACTATATAGTGTGATGTTTTATAATTCACAAGGATCAGTAAAATGGGTCTAAGGAAGTAATGCTTACAATAAGCCACGGAAATTCCCTATTATATAGCTGCCCCTCTGTTTAAGTACAGCTTAAAATACTTTCTTAGTCTAAGCATCCCCTTATTTTTCCCAAATCTACCACTTTTTTTACGGTGACTAGTGATACTCTCGCTCTTCAGAGGATGACTGGATATTACATAATCTTCAAATCTCTGAGTGAACAGTGAAAAGATTAATACTTTTCCATGTACTGTTTGTGTATTCATGTATTTCATGAATGCAATCACATACCATTAATAACTAAATTTAGCTTTTATTAAGCATGACTGCACAACAGAAGAGACAAATGCATTTTATTTAAATTCTGCATTTTATTCTGAAACCAGTGACCTCATTTTTAGGACTAAAGATCTCATGGGTAAAAATAAGAGGAAAGGATGAAATAAAGGTGCCATGAATCAGTAATTCAAAAGCATTCTTCTGCCATACAGGAAAAGAAATAATATATTACGTTTTGCTGTACAAAAAATTAATGAAAAAATTGTATCCAGTAAATGAAATTATAGTTTGGATCAGAATATAATCTAAATCATCAGTTTCCTTTGACTTCTAGTTTTTGGTTAAGAAAAAATCCCAAAGACCTTTGTGGCATGGCTTTTTAACAAACTAATAACAAATAAAGTAGGAAAATGCAACTTGCAGTTAAAGACAAAAAAATCAGGCCCCATGACTTATGAACTTTTAGTCAGAAAATGAACAACTCACCTAGACTTGCTTTGTCTTATCACATGTACCTTGTGATAAACCTGCCAAGAAGTACTATTAAACTGAAAATTGCATCCTGCTTTACGTCAGTTTGTTTTATGAATAAACTCATCTGCTCTGGGTCAGCAAACCTTAGCTTTTTTAAAAAACATTAACATATTCCAAACTTTATTTTAGTATGCATAACACTAATCTTAAGGAACAGTCTTGCAAAACCAGTGTCCAAGGGTTATATAGGGAACAGAAGTAATTTTCAGACTAGCTGTAATACCCTGTCCTCTGAAAGACTTGTGGAAACACTTAAACATTCAACACAACAAGCTTATGTAGCTGATAGAGACAACCTTTTCTTTCGTGCTGCATTTCAGGCTGGCTGATGATACGCTGAGAATCCACCTAATCAAAAGAAGCAAGATGAAAGTCAGAATGTATCCTTAAGAATATTTTCCTACATAACACAGTTAAGGAAAAGTGTCTTGAAGAGTTTTGACAGTATCAAATCATACAGGAATTTCAGTCCATGCCACACATTCCAACGTAAGAGCCAGTACTATAAACTGCTGTATCTCATGGTTTGCCTGAGTCAGAATACCATTCCACAATCAATTCCAAAGCCTTACAGGTAGTATTTTATGTGATGATATAAGATGGATGTCCTGAGATTATTCAGGCTTCAGATGCAGTGAGGAAAATCCTGATCCAAGGCCTCCACGTTAACTTGTTATAAAAGCTAAACACCAATATAACTGAATAGGAGATTATCTTCATAATACCAAGGACAATGAATTTGAAATATGAAAATAGAAACACTTGGGCTCAAGGCAGTACATCAGGACTCTGACCCCTCACTGAATGCCTACTAGAAATATGTGCCCTTGGTGCTTGTTCACTGTTACCAATCTTTTCAAGACGAGAGACCTAAACCCCTCATTGATAGGCCTCAGGGTAGGAGAGGCACAGGGAGGGTGCATGTAGAAATCTTGCTCCTGCACTCAGTAATTCCTTGCCTCCTTTTAATTAAGAAAATGTACTTGTTCCGTCAGGAAACCTAATGGCCTGCAGAGACCCTTATAGAAATAAAGACAAGATTTCTAATGGAGCAGGAAGCTGGACTTTTCAGCTTTATGAAACCCTCCCAGGTTTCAAGAAAACTGCTCTCCTATCTGATCCCATCACACTCATTCTAAAGCAAACCACATTTCTGTCTGCTTAAAAGGGAGAAGCCACCCGAAAGCACAGCAACCCAAAACAAAAGGAAAATGCACTGCATTCAGGTAAATCCTAAACAAGGAAAATGTATCCACCTTTTTCTTCTGGGCTACAGGTGCTTAATAGCACAAAGAATTTTAACTTCCAACAAAGAAAATTTTAACTTCCACTAAATCTAAGTTGCCTTTACAATCTCTCAACTTACAAACCATTAAGTGTTCTGTTTGAAAAGGCTAAATATTTGTACACACAAAATTAAAAACCAAAACACCCAACAAATGAAACAGACTTCACAAAAATAGGATATCAACAGGGACTGATGTATACACAACAGTTCTTACGCCTTAAAATTCAACTGTACAGTTCCTTCAGTATTTTTAAATTCAAGACTCAAAAGAGACATCCTTCCAAAGGGAATTCTCCCTTTGACCACTCTTAACTAACTGTAGCGGGGTACTCTAACTACTTGTCTTAAGGATCAAAAAACAAAACAAAACAAAAAATTATCTTTATACCCTTACCTGATTCCACGCGTATGGTTTCTCAAACCACGTACGAACAATTGTATCTCGAGGTTTTGATTTGCAGATTAAACTGAAATTACATAAAAATAGCCTTAAGAAATACAGACAAAGGAATTTCTATATTAAATACAACTTGGCATTTATGAAGTGTCTGTGCTGAAGGGAATCTTAAATTTCCTTGTTAATCCATTCTGATTTGTTCACTTCTCTGTACTTGGCCCCTCTAGTGTAAGAAGTCAAAATACAAATTTTCAGAGGGTTGTTAAGTGTACCAGAATGTATTTTCTTTTAAAGAAAATAACATTATTTTAATTTACAAAGTACTAGAATTTGCAACTGTCATTTATCCCATAAGTTTTCTGCATGCTTATTCACTAGAATGTATAATACAGCTATTTTTATGGTATTTTGTTTTGCATGGCAACTCAATTACTATAGATTGTCTGTCTGCTCCAGTTATTTCCTCAAGCTGTGCAAAGTACAACAGTAGTAGACTTTAATTAATTCTGTCTAGATGTGTTTTTCAAACACTGATTTTAGTCTTAAGTAGTGGTGACATGTTGTAAATAAAATTAGCTTTCGAAAAAATGGAAAAAAGTTATGAAAGACTGCTCAGGCTAAATTTTTACGTATTTACTCTTATTAATTTAATCACAGGTTAATTTTTTTTCCAAAACATAAAACAAAGTACAATCAGAAAGAAGTCTTCAAAATGAAGGAAGATTTTACACAAAGAAAACGACACCATGACAATGACCAGATTGCCTCTTCCTTCAAGAAGGTAAAAAAAAAAAAATTAGCTGTAGGATTGTTGGAACAGAATCAGTAAAAGCACAAAGATCCCAAGAGAGAAAATGCTACCACAGAAAGATATAAAGTCCTAAAGAAAAAAAAGCCCAGAAGGCTGATGAGAATGACTGAGTCAGGCAGTCAGCGCTGACTAACTGGGGAACACGTCAGCGCTGAGGACCTGTGCCAAGGAGCTGTGCAGGCTGCTTCTTCCCCTCCCAACGGGCTGCAGATGTCTGAACCAACCCAAAACAGGTGCCGAAACAGCAGTAAGCGTTCACCTGTCCAAAGAAAGAGCAGTGACATTTCTGTGCCTTGAATTTAGCACGTAAGTGTTGATGTCCAAGCATGAGCTCCTGTCACTGTCACAGTCACCTCCAGAAAGGTTTTGTGGTTTTGCTTCTTCCTGCCTATCCACTTTCCTTGACTTCTCCCTACACTCATTACCACAGGAATCACACAAGCAAGCCTTGCTCGGATTTGAATTCTAAACGTGGTACTACATGGCAGTGTCCAAAGGCAGTGCAGACACCAACTGGCCTGAGGTACCTGGACACAAGCAGGAAATTGAACATTGCATCAGCACCACGCTTGACAGCCGGTATGTTACCAAGAGCTTTGCAGACGTGAAACACGAGCAGCTTGCCGCCAGCCCGCACTGGCGCTCCTGACACTGAAGCGCAAGCAGCCTGCACCTCTGAGGTACGGCCTTTGTGAAGCCGTACCACCACTTTCTGGAGGCACACACAAGCCCTGCAACAGCTGGCGGGAAGCTGCCATGTCCCAGAGAGAAGAGGAGTGAACCCACCGGCAGCAGAAGAAAATAATCACCTTGCTCCCTTGTCACATCCAACATGTCTGCTGGTCATCTAACTTATAATGGGTATCTCCACATCTTCTGGCAATTGTGCATGCTCTTTTAATTTCATTTCCAGTGCCTCAAAAGGTAAGGTTAACTCCCCCTGCACCACATTGAATTTTCTTTGAAGTTTTGGAAATAAGAACTATGGGTACTTGCTTTCAACTAAAGGCAATGTATTAGCTTTTTCACAGATAGGAAGGAAAAAAAATAATCAACTGAGCAGGTGCATTCAAAACCAAGAAACACCTGAAAATTCAGTGTGAACAGCTGCTCTGATAATCATTTTGATAACCTAGGGTAAGGGTGGCTGAACTTAAAAGCCTCTGATCTTTATCAGCATGAGGAACTGCCTCACTTCAGCATGATTATTTTAGAAGAGCTCTATTCATGAAAAAGGTCGCATTTCCTAGAGATGAGGCCAATAATAGAGAGCACAACTTAATGCTCTTAATCATGGCTTTTTTAAATCTGTTCAGTACAGAGCCAGGTAAGGATGAGAGAAGTCTACTGATGATGGCCAGTATCACATAACATCTACAAACAAAGGAAGATTCTTCACGGCATGCTCAGCAGTGGCAGACATCAGAAGGAGCTGTTACGGGGATACTTCATTGAACTAGCTCCCCCAAACACTTCCCACACACAACAGGCTGAAAGAATTCTCAAGACTGGCTGCACTGACCCACAATAGCCTTCAGTTAGCAGCAGCAGGGAGGGCCTGCTGGAAAGAGGCAGGTGGCCTTACTTCAATTCATAAATTAACCTGGGACTTCCAGCAATCAACTTGGCCAACAGCTATCCTACACAGGTCTGTTGAGGGAAGAAAGGCAGCACACGCAATTAAAATTTAATGTATAAGGAGAAAGAATTCTAAATCCTTCTGCGCTTCTATGCCATAGGACTTTATTAGCTTTGTCCTGGGTGCACAAAGCAAACACATCAGAACTGGTAACCTGTAGAACAGGTTTTACATTCTAGGTTTTATGACTTAAGTGATGAGGCTTCCCTGAAGAACCAGTGCTTCCACAAGAAGTCTAATGTTGTTGAGTATACTGCTTTATAAATAAACAAAGTAAATGAAACACATCACTAAATGCACACGTACGTAATTTCCCCAAAGCCTAACCTGAACTATACTTCAAGCAATCATTTATTTTGTTTTTGCTGAGACTGTGAAACAGATCTTATTTCTACAAAATTATTACCATAGAAGTTGCTGACGAATGTTTTCCTGTAGCTGTGTCATTCTCTCTTGTCCAGAACACACTACACATTCACAGAGCAGCTCATTAATGGCTGACCTTAGGATGTTTATCTGTAAAAATAACAGTGACAGAATATAGAGCACTCTAAACCAGCACTAGTTCTGTATTATATTATACTGACATGAAGGTGGTTGTGGCACCCATACCACCACTTCAACTGGAATATTATTAACATAAGCAAAATCATCTGAAGCTTTAGAAATGCTTCTTCCTCCAGACACATCTCTGCTGGTCAAAGATGTTAATGTTCAGCTACTTGATATCATGATCTCCAAGGTTACTCAGATATGCCATAAAACATACAGGTTACCACTTGCCGGGATTTTTTCCAAACACAGAATTCCTTTTGTAAGAGTTTTAAGGATTTTCTCTGTCTGTCCCTAATTTTCACATCACAACAGTTACCATTCTAAGGTGTCATGAATACTGACATCACACACATGAAGTCAGTGCTTTCAGAAAACAATGGCTCACATATGTGCACCAAAATGTCCACTGTGTCCTTAAAAAGCCTCTAGAAATCACTAGTCATCACCTAACATACCTGCTCTGTACACAGAACTGATTAGGCATGTGAGGTCCTTCACTGTCTAAATCACATGTCAAATCTGAAGCACATGTCAAATACAGCTTACTGTCCCGCGTAACAGAGTATATGGACATACTTCCCTCTGACAGGGCTCTGTCTACAAGTTGCAAAAAGGCTGTAATGAGGAATATGGGGGTTTTCATTGTTTTGTTGACCTGCTCTGAGAGAAGCAGCTTGATACAGATGACTTATCAGAGCAGCAGAATCAAAGTGGAGACTGCAAAGTAGTAATGCTAGGCTGATCAGTAAAAATCACAACCATCCTAAGAACATAACTAACAAGTATTGACATCTGATTAGTGCAAAATCGATGCTTTTGTTTTGAAAAGTGTACAAAGTATTGTTCTATAATATTTTATTTTGTTCAAAGTGTATGGAGGAGGTAACTGTTTTTTTTTTTCTGGTAAGAATCCCAAAACCACAGCTTAAAACAAGTTTTCTTATTAACTCTAAGAGATAACAAGCTCTGACGCACTGAATTCTACTTAATTCCTACCATAGTGAAAATTCTTATGCATGTTTTACCTCTGATATGTCTTCCACTCCAAGATGCACATCAAATGTCAGCTCCATGTCATTTTCTGGAAGTAGTGGAGCCCCACGTGTCTGACTCCAACCCAAACCACACAGAACACCAGTAAAATACTTTCCCTCTTTATCAACCCTTATAGGAAAAAGAAAGAAAACAGTCTTGTCTAGAGATGAAGAAACTAAACTCACATGATGACAGACTGAAACAATTTGACAAAGCCATGCCAAGCAAGACACAGATGTTTCAAAGATGCTAAAACAACTGAGAGGCATTCGCACGTAGTCATATCGTTTTTTTTAAATATAGCGATGAAACAAACTAAAGCTCTAGTTATGAAAACATATACTCATGAAACTTAAAAAATAAAATCATACATACGCAAAATGAAACTTTAATTAAGGAAATCTAGCTTCACTATGTTGAAATGAAAGACTACAGATACAAGGATTTAAGCAAAACACAACAGTAACACAACTGCCAGAACTCAGCTTTTACAAAAATCACACGATTTCCTCTCCTCACGTAGATTCAAAACTTGTCCAGTTCTACAGTTCATCCTTCCAGGCTTCCAGCATGACTGTCAGAAATTGTATTGCCTTATCGAGAGGACAGAGCCTGCAGCACCAATTTGTAAGTACATGAAACGAGTTATCTTAGCTACATACTATACTAAAACTGATAAAAGATACAAGTATTACATGAATAGGAAGACAATATACTAAATGCTAAAAGCAGAGATAAAAAAAAAATCTGTCACAAATCTGTGAGGGTCCTAAACAACAAAAAATGAAAGAACCACCACTTTTAAAATGCATGAATACCTGAGTTCTACAGCAGGAGCAAAGAGCATACTGAGGAGTGCAGGTAGGCCGGGAATAGGAGGCATCAAAGATGTTTCCTCTAAAACCACAGTAGATCCTGTCACCAAAAAAAAAAAAAAAAAAGAAAAAAAAAAAACTATCTGAGGAGCATCTAATGAAAAGGAGTATCTAATGAAAATGAAACCTGAAAAATATGTAACTACAGCAACATGCTTATTCATAGAACTACTTAAAAACAAAAGTCTAGAGAAAGTAACCAAACATTTTTAATAAGCATTACCTGTTGCATTTAATGATAAAGACGCAGCGACCAACAATCGCTGAAAGCTGTCTTCTGGAGCATCATTGACAAGAACAGAGTTTATGCTTTCCTTTTGTATGACAGCATTTCTGGGGAGGACATAAGAAATATTTTCAATATTAAAAAACTAAAAAACATACAAACATGTAAAAAAAGAATTATTTTGAATTCACAATCCAACCTCAATGGATAGCAGTTACTGGCTGAAGATTGCCTGAACACCATTTAGCAGATGTACATGATGGTCCAAAAGACATTAAAGCACCTTCAATCACAGAATGTTTTGGGTCGAAAGGGACCTTAAAGACCATCTAATTCCAACCCCCCCCCTGCCATGGGCAGGGACACCTCCCACTAGACCAGGTTGCTCAGCCCCACCCAACCAGGCCTTGTAATAATAAACACTATTATTAATAAATAATATTAAATAATAAAATTATTCTTAAAACTTTCCATAGCAATAGCGTGCGTATTAATACAATTCAGGCCTGACTACTTTAGTCCTTTCAATGACTAAACATTTTGTAAAAATTTGTAAGAGTAAGTAGGATGGTTTTTGCTTATTTATCAAATGTAACAGCTGAGAATATGCCTATACTTCACGGTAAAACTCTTCTCATACCTGAACTGGGATACTCTAGTCATAGTGTAGCATCTCACCTCATAAGGACTGAATGGGCCAAAAACCGTTACCTTCAAAGAGAGAACAAATGACACTCTAGCTAGCCAGCACCTGGATCGCTCCAAATCAAAATCCTTTATAAATTAAAACCAAAAAATGTTTCAGCATGTATTGAGCAATAATGAACAATGTACATTGATAAACAGTATTTTCATTTCACCCGTCTAAAGCAAGCTTTGGCTGTTGAGGCTCCTAAACAAAAATAATGTATTTTCACAGGTGCTGGGGATTCATGACTTTCCTCTGGCTTAAAAAACACAAGTTCAGACTCTGTAGAACACCTGACAAAATCAAGTCATTTCTGTTTACATGAGCATGTCTTTAATCTTGAAAATATCTCACTTTATAAAAGCCAGTAGTTAAAAAGGATTAGTCCTGTGGGTAAACTGAGCATGATTAGGTGCTTGAAAGCCTAAAATTTTGTCAGGTCTGAAATGAGAAAAGAACTATAATGTAGACAAGGCTTAATTTGTAATCAGAATGCAGAACAGGACATATATTTTCACGTTTTATATTCCAGCTTAGTAGTGACTAGATATCTCAAAATATGCAAGTAAAAATAAATTCTGAGTTTGGAATTGGCAGTGGAAAGCTGTACCCACTGTTTCGTTACTATCCGTTACTGGGGCATTCACCGCATCACCAATCCTAGCTGCTTACCTATCACTAGCTAAGGAAGAACGAAACACCGTGTATAGTAAAAAACATGTTTAAATTTTATGAAAAATTGATAGGGTTGTAATCTTGCTCTTTGCTGCAGCTTATATAACTAAGACTATCATGTGTGGAAACATTGTGTTCAGTTTTTCAATTTTATCTTCATTCCACAGTGGTTCAAAGTGCTGCCTTAGAACGGGTCAGAAGAGTTGGTTCACTTAGCTCTTATGCTATATTTATAAAATTTTGGTAAAAGCTGCAATAGGCTGGTCTGCAATGGTGGCCACATACTACTTCCTATCAACAGAAAGCAGAATGCATTATGAAAGGCATCAAATATGGTTTGGTTATTAAAGGCACTTTCAGTCTTCACCTCCATTCTAACGATATGAGGAGCAGGGTCATGTAACGACACACCAAAACCACCACTCGCATTACCTTATGGGTTGGTGCTTCAGATTTACTGTCAGAAATCCAGTTTAACAATCTTTCAATGAGATGCTGTTCTCCTTCTGTCGAAGGTACAGGCATGTTCTCTTCTTTCTTTACTTGGTCCAAAAATAATCTCTTGAGCAAATCATGGCTTTGCTACAAAATAATGGAAGAATTAAACCCATGAAACAGATATGTTTTTCAAAAATTTTACATAAAAGGTCCTATGTAAAGAACATGCATACTTGCATATGAATACAAAAAACAATGTTTTTATTACCTTTCAGATTACATAAAACATAAAAATGGAAGAAAGTTAAAACTATGAAAGAGTTACGTATTTTCAAAGTTTCAAAACACAGTGGAGCAGTTCAATTGATACAATTATCTCCTGGGAAACATCTCTTTCAAAAGGTGTCTCAAATCAGCAATGCTTTTGGCCAACAGCTCAATATGAATTATGCACACACATAAAAATACATTGTCCCATTTAAATATTAATCTTGCCTAATCCCATAGCATTAGTCAAGACTTCAGCTCAACTTCTCGGGACTTCAGACAGCCTGAGCTGAAACAAATTAGAGTAAGAAAAATAGAAGCAGCTTACTCAATACATACTTGTGATTCATAGGATTCTTCTGCTAGTTCAGCATAACATTCTTCAATAAGCACATCTCTAATATTCACAAGCTCTTTGGATCTCGAGTAACGGAAGACATCCACACGCAGGACATTACGCACAAGCGAATACACCCTCACTGAATGACCATAGCCATTCACTAGTGAGGCAAATTTCTGCCTGGCACTGTAACTCCACCATTCCCCACATACAAGAGATTTTGCAGATGGACGCATCTTGCATATCTTGAATTCTAAAGCCTAGAGCAAAAACATTTAAAACAACACTTGCCCGAGTAAAGAATCAGCATCAAAATCTTTCATTTTCTCAACAAGCTGTCTGAATTAGTAACTATAAAAATGACTTCATAATTATTGCAGTGGCTTATGCTAATTCTGCTGTAAAGTTACTGGCATAATTCCTATTCTGTCACTGCGAATGCAGCTACACATTACACCTCATATCACTTCAATATTGTACAGAGTTGTTAACAAATCAGAGCAAACAGAGCATAAATAGAATATAATTTGGCATTACTTCACCATTCACATTAAAATCTTAGCAGTGTAGAGATGTCTTTTCTGGAAAAAAAACCTTTAAAATCCACAGTTCTTTTCAACTAAGGTAACAGAAAACTTGGCAAGACCACTGCACCTATTCTGTCCCTGGCAGGCAAAAATAATCAAGTTCTCATTTAACCCCTTTCCACAATCACTATCTGTAATTATGTCCTCGAATTGATTTACAACAGAAACTCTATTTTTTTTCTAGCTGGTCATTAAAACTGGTCACTAAAAGATTAGGCCTGAAGCAGAAATACATATCCCATTAATGCATCTGAAGGAAACACAAAAAAGAATGCTTCTTGTCAAAATTAATTCTAGGTCTTTTTAAAAATCAGTTATAAAAGAAAACCAAACAAAATTAACCCTGTTAGGACCTAATACTAAGAAGAGATAAATAAAACCATACCTCTGCTGGTTCCTTTCTCATTTTCAAACACATCAGAGATTAAAGTCAGTATGATACACCTGTTTCAATTAGCTTAAAAATATCTGAATGAGGACTGAAAAGCTGAATTTCACTTGAAGTCCCGTTATGTTACTTGTAACTATAGCTCAAGAGAATTATTTTTTCTGAAAAAACTAGCTATTAGTTCAGAACAAAGCCTCTCAGATTTGTGTTACAGATCACAAGAGATTTCTGTCTGAAAAGATCCAAGTAAAGCCAGTAGTTCAAAGAATGGCAAAGCAGCAGAAAGCAAAACCAGAGACTTCTAGCTTTGCGAAATTTAAATCGGGTATTTGTCTTGTAACTAAGTGTAGCAGAGCAGGAGCTTTGATGGAGCAAAAATACTCTGCACAGTAACTGTTCGCAAGATACTTGCCACTGCAGACTTGTGCCATGCAGAGAAGAGGAGATACTATGCTGCAACTTGTCTGTAGCAGCAGCAGCTAGGTTTAAGCAGAGAACAATAGATTAAACCAGTCATCAGTATTTTCTCTTCTCTGGGCTGTTTTCTAGGCTGTATAAGCCTCTGTCATTTGCTCAGAGGTTCTTTAGACTAAAGCAAAGCTGATCTACTGCTCAGTCTGTTACTCCTCAGCTTTGCATACAAGCAGGCAATAGAGGAACCAGAACGTTCTCCTTCTAGAGAAAAGTTCTCCTTCTCAGAGAACTGATGGACAACAATGACACTGACAACCAAAAGCAACAAGCAGCAAAACACAAGCTGTTAGAGCAATTTCCTCTCTCCTTCCACCCTGCCTGTGATTACAGGTGGGAGACAAATCCCGCTATGTTGTCCCCGCAGAAACAGGACTAGTTCAAACATTTGGTTAAAAAAACCCCAACCAAACAATAAATACAAACAATGTGTTTTTTTGTCAGGCAGCAAGTTCAGGCTTCCCTCCTGCCTCCCCCCTTATCTTTTTCTTTGCAAGTGCCCCTGAAAACAACAGGCTGGGTAACATTTCTCTGCAATTAAATACAGTGCAATACAGTTACACAGAAGAATTACTGCTCTGTGCATACACATCTGTGGAAAACATCCATCCACCTATTAGTGAAGCTGATTTGTAAGTACTCCCATTAGCAAAATACATGTTACTTCATTATTATTCTGAAAAGCATTATGATCTGAAGTACACTTCTGTTTGCCAGAGCAGACATGAAAGTATCTACTAAGCAGCAGCAAATAGCATCACCCCTACCTGGAATGGAAGCTCTTGAAGACAGCTTGGAATCTCTTTTAAACTCTTTAAATGCACTTTTGATCTATTGCCATAATCCACAAAAAAAACCTGGAAAAATAATCAAGAGGATCAGCAGAGTTTCCACAACATTAAAAGCAACAACCCAAGTTTAATAATGACAGTACAACACAATCTTCTCAAGTGAAATGGAAGCAAATTCAGAGTCTGGAAAACATGCAAATGAAGTCATGTCAAAAATAATAGGTCAAATTTTATCATGTCTATTATTTGACCACTTGGCTTAACATTCATTGGTAATGCAAATAATCTGCTAAATCTAGAAAAGGCAAATTTCTCTGAAAGGGTCTAAATCTCTCCCCACAATTAAATCTCTATAACCTTAACTTCTTAAGTGAGTGATACTACCTAATAATTGCTTTTGATAAGCCAATGCTAGCATGGATCTGGTGACAAATACAAAAAAGAAAGTGATGAGATTAGCTTATTCACTAGTTTTCCATGACTAAGCAGGTGACAGTGTTCAGTATTAACTCTATAGTGGTGATACCCAGCTATGTTAAGAAATCAAGAAATTCAAGAGGGCTGGGCTGTGCAAAGGCAAACCTTACAAAAATAAACAAACAAATCAATCTGTCCTTCTGCTGAAAAGTATTGGCCTGAAAAATGAATAGCAATCTTGTCTGTGGCACTACTTTCCATTACTGATCTCAGCACAAAAAGCCAAAATGTTCTGACGAATTTGCTGATACAGAACTCAGGAACATAAACAAGGCTACAAAAAAGGTCACACTGAATGGATCTGAGAACTTGACAGGAACGGGGAAAACCAAATGGTATGAATTAAAAGATCATATCCTTTGGAATTTTTAAGAACTTCTGCTATAAACAGTCCATTATTATTTATAAATTCTAATTAGTTTGAAATTACCAAGGAGACAGAACTGAGTATAAGATGGTAAGAGATGGCCTATGCAAAAAAAGCTATGAAAAGGCACATGTGGCATGTGCCACATGAAATATTTTTGAATGCAGAGGAGAAACACTGTGTGGGAAGAGGAAGACAACCATCACTGCATAAGCAAAGGCTGAACTGTAAGTATGGGAGGCATGCATAATTCTGCTTCAGAAAACTGATGTCAAAACCAAATAAAGGAGTGAGATGGGAGACCAGGTGAACAGACAGTCAATGTAGTATGTGAGATGAGAAAGAGTGCAGCTTGCTTCAATTAACAAAACAAAGTCTAGGAAGACAGACAAGAAACTGGAGGGGAGGGGACAGAGGAGGGTAAGAAGAAAACTTAAGTAAACCAGGGGAAGAAACACTGGCAGAACAAGATTAGACGAACTGGCCATGAATGATTGAAAAGTACCAATATAGTGGGGTGAAGAAATTCACTTTTCAGATGGATCTCAATATATTTATGAAGAGAAATTGATGAGGCTGCTGCCCACAATGCAGTACTGCACTCTGATCTAAGCATTCCTTACCATGTTTTCCAAGTTACTGGAGGTTTTAATCTTTATTTTGTTTCGCTCTGCTTCAGCACACAAAACACTTGACTGTATCAACAGCCTCTCAATCTAGCACTAAAATATTCCTGTGTTCTGGAAAGAAAAACCAATTCATCTATTCTGGCAACATCCAATTAAGGTTTCAGTTTAGTTCTGGTTCTACAGACTTTACTGGAATATCTGTAACTACCATGAACAGAGTGCTTTATATAAAAAAAAGAAGTATAGCTCCAATATCGTTAACCCAATTACATCTTACCAATTCAACACAACATAACATATTACTGTACCTCAGCAAAATCTCCACAAACACACAGAATACGAGCTCTATAGTATCCTTTGTTTTCTAGATAAGTGAATGGTGCCAGACAAACCAACTCTGGATGTGGAGACACCTGCAAATCCCTCAGGTTCTGGTAGGTAATTTCAGAACTTAGGTGCTGGAGTACAATCCTATTTTTTTCATCTGTCCTGTAACCCCAGAAGTGTCCAACTTCAACTATCTGAAAGTATAAAAATTAGGCAATATCTGATTTCATATTATTTTACTCTTCTACATCAAAATACATCTGTGCAAAATACACGAAAGCACTCCTACTCCTGACACACACACAGAAATGTTCTCATACTGCAATAATGCAGTGAAACATTTCTCATAATTAGATGTTAATTTAGAGTGATTATTTGCTGTGCAACTGCAACACACTTTTCATCTAAATAGACCCTGATATAAGCATTACTAAAATACAGAAAATTAAGACGACTGCTTCCATTTTTCTAAACCATACAAGGTATACAGTTGATTAGACAGATACATACAGATAAGGTGCACTTTTCTTATTAGTGAAAGAATATCAGTTAGTTACATCTATCAGCAAATCAGCATTGTTATCGTTATGACTAGCCATCTTTTAGGAAGCTGAAAAGACCATGCCACTACTTACATCAAACTGAATAAAATAAGTCATCTTTTCAAATTGCTTACTGAACTCAATATACCGTTTCTGATCTTAAATCAAATGCTCATGATTAAAAAAAAAAAAAAATCTTTAAAATACATACAACCATTAAAGCTGATGTCTTAAATAGAAGTAGCATGGATACCTAAGTGATTGGAATGTGTCTGATCAAATCCATGAACATTTTTGTTCCAAGAGACTTAGCCAAATAAAATGAAGAAAATACTCTTTTCTGCACTTGCAAAACATGCCACTACTATTAAGAGCTGTTTTAATACTTCAGCCTATAATTTCCACTAGCTCAGTGATTTGGATTTTTTTTTTTTTTTTTAAATTTCAGCAGCATATATAGTGCTTGCTATTACTCAATTTGTTGAGATTATAGTTAACACAGATTTTAAAAACTCTCAGCTTCAGTATTCTGAAATACTTATATATACATATAATTTTCCCCTAACACGCTATCTTTTATGCATGCAATATTTTTCCAAATGAGCATGCAGTACTGTTAATTCATCTGATTTCTCGCATCTACAATTCCCAAAGAAAATTGTCAGTTAGTAATAATGAGGAAAATGGTCCAAATACCTAAAGATGCTCATTTCTATAGCGTGCACAAATATCTTACCTCTCCCATTAATCCTCTTTACATTTATGCCCACTTCCAGCTAACATTTACTGCCAGCAAATCCCACAAATTTTGTCAAGTGCAATGTTTGAAATTTATTTGCGACATGTGAGTACTGTTTAACAAAGAACTACTAAAAATTAGACCAGTAATACTCTCCATACTTCTTATGAATACCTCTGTGCTAAAACCTTTAGCAGCAGCCATTCTTTTCATTTAACATTCATCTCTGCAAAGTTATCTATGTACCAACTATTAGATACGACCTACTTCAGATGTAGAACATTCCTACCTCTGTTATCTTGATGGACAGAAAAAGATTTGGGATCATCTGTGACTGTCGTAGAGTACCAAATGAGATTTCCTCAGGCTCCACTGTCTGCTTCTGACAGTCCACATTCACTCTAAGAAGTTTATGGATAAAGACACTAAATACTTCAATCACAAGCAAAAACTCAAGAGTTCAATTTTTTTTGCTTTCATTTGCTTCCCACAGCGCCCCTAGGGCACATTTATGTACTTAATGATTTTTATTTAGAAGTACATTAATGCAATTAGAACATAAGATGACCACACAGAACCAAAATACTACAGAGAAACTGTTTGAATTCCATTATGACCAAACACAGGAACATAATAACAAGACATAACTGTGCCATCAGTTTATTAGAAATCCAAAGAATTAGGATTAAATAGTGAGGCTTTTTGCTATGGCATACTTTCTAAGCTTACTTTTTAAAAATAAATTGAGTACACCACACCACAAAGATAAATTCAGAATATAATTTTTTAGATATAATATTAATTTTACTTGACAAAAGTTAAAGACAAAACTCTCAAATTAGTCTTTCAGGCTAACAGACTTCTTTCTTGATTCCCTCAAGAATTAATTTTCACAGAATGCTAGAGTTTGGAAGGGACCTCTGGAGATCACCTAATCTAATCTCCTGCTAAAGCAGGCTCACCTACAGGAGGTCGCACAGGATCGCGTTCAGGCAGGTTTGGACTATCTCCGGAGAAGAAGACTCCACAGTCTGCCTGGGCAGCCTGTTCCAGTGCTCTGTCACCCTCAATGTAGAGAATTTTTTTCCTCATGTTCAGGCAGAACTTCCCGTGCTCCAGTTTCTGCTCGTTGCCCCTTGTCCTGTCACTGGGCACCACTGAAAAGAGCCTGGCCCTATCCTCTTGGCACCTGCCCTTTAGGTATTTATAAGCACTGATAAGGTCCCCTCTCAGTCTGCTCTTCTCCAGGCTGAACAGGACCAGGTCTCTCAGCCTTTCCTTATAGGAGAGATGCTCCAGTCCCCTCATCATCTTTGTGGCTCAGCACTGGACTCTGTCCTGTAGCTCCGGGGGCCCAGAACTGGACACAGCACTCCAGGTGTGGCCTCACCAGGGCAGAGCAGATGGGGAGAAGAACCTCCCTCGCCCTGCTGGCCACACTCTTCTTAATGCACCCCAGGATGCCATTGGCTTTCTTGGCCACAAGGGCACATCGCTGGGAAACGGGTAACTTCCTGTCCACCAGGACTCCCAGGTCCTTCCCCGCAGCACTGCTCTCCAACAGGTCAACCCCAGTCTGTACTGGTGCATGGGGTTATTCCTCCTCAGATACAGGACCCTACACTTGCCCTCATTGGACCTCATTAGGTTCCTTTCCACCCCACTCTCCAGCCTGTCCAGATCTCATTGAATGGCAGCACAGCCTTCTGGAGTATCAGGCACTCCTCCCGGTTTTGTATCACCAGCAAACTTGCCGAGGCTGCGCTCTGCTCCCTTCACCCAGGTCACTGATGAATATGTTGAACAAGACCAGACCCAGTACTGACCCCTGGGGAACACCACAAGACACAAGCCTCCAGCTGGACTTTGCACCACTGATGACAACTCTGAGTTCTGCACAGAGATTTTAAGTGCTGGTTTAGACACAGTAGAACTGCTAAAATGTTTTATTAAAAAGTAAATACAACCAACTGGAGGTGAAGTATTCAACTGCACTTTAACCTTTCCAGTTCATTGCTGCCTTCCTATTTTAATTTTTTTATTTTAAAATATTAAAAACATTATTTAAAATATAAACATTTAAAAATATTATTTAGAATATT